AGGTGCTGCAGCAGCAACTCAGCACGCGGCAGGCGTGCAAGCTGCCTGTACACCTCAGCTTCTCTCTCCTTCTTCATGAAGAAATAATAATTCACAGCTCATCTTCTTTGACGTTTACTCTGTTGGGGTGTATGCACTGCACCTGCAGCAGCAGCAACCTCTTTTCCCGCACCTCCTATCCTTCTTCTCGCCTCCTCTCTCAGACGCAGCAGAGAGAGTGCCTCAGCTGTCTTTGCAGCTCTTTATTGTTGTTGTTTATTTCAATGAAATTTTGTTGCTGTTGCTGCTGCTGCTGTTGCTTTTGCTGCTTCTGCTGTTTCTGTTGTTGCTGGTGCTGCTGTTGTTGCTGCTGCTGCTGCACCATTCCTCCTTTTTCTCATGCTGCTGCTGCTGTTGTTTCTGATGCTACTCTTGCTGCTGCTGCTGCCTCTGCTGCATGCCCTAATTCGTTCTTGTTGATGGTGGCTCTTCCACTTGCTGCTAGTGCTGCTGCTACTACTACCACTCCTGCTGCTGCTGCTGCAGCTGCAGCTGCTACTACCATTGCTACTACCATTGCTGCTGCTGCTGCTGTGTGTTTGTATTTCAGTCTTCTGCTGCATTAGAGCGGCGCAGCACTTTGCAGTCTGTAGCTGCTCGTCGTTTGCTGCATTTAGAGAGCAGCAAAGGCATGCCAGTCGGAGTATTTGGTGAGGGTGATGCAGATGCAGCAGCAGCAGCAGCAGCAGCAGCTGCTGCTGCAGGAGCTGGCGGTGGTGTTGCTGCTGCTGTATCTGCACGTAACCCTGCCTGCTCTCTCCCTGGAGGATGCAGCACCCCACAGCCGCTTTCTTTTGCTTTAAGAGGTGCGAGCACTGATAATAACGCAGCCTCTATTCTTTATACAGATAATTTATGCTGCTCTTCTCTGGATATCTTAACAAATGATACAACTTATGTTGCACAACTTAGAGAAGAACTCTGGCAGGCTCTCGCTGCACATGTAGCTGCACAGACACCTCAAAAAATTAATGCTGCTCTTGATTGTCTTGAAGAGGTAAGACTTTACACCCTATATGTATATATATATATAATATATATTATATTATATTGTATTATATATGTATATTATATATTTATGTTTATATATATGTATATATATTTCTATATATTTATATATATAATTTATTTATTATATACATATATATAGATATACATTTATTATATAATATATATTTATTTATTTATATTGATATCTGTAGCCATAGACATCCCACTTCCATGCATGCAGCTGCATGTACACCTCAAATGCATGTAAATAGACGAAATAAATTTATGCAGACAAGCAACATATGTATGCAAATACAAAATAAATAGGTGCATGTACACCCCAAATGCATGCACGTACACCGTAGCTGTCTGGGGCTTTAACAGCAGAATGTGCTGCATGCGTCGGAGTATTTCTTTGCGTTTGTCTTTAATTATATTTGCTGTCTTTGGGGTTGTTTGATTTGTTTCCCTTTGTTGGAGGGGTTTACGTGCTGCTGCTGCTGCTGCTGCTGCTTCTGCTGCTGCTGCTGCTGCTGCTGCTTCTGCTGCTGCTGCTGCTGCTGCTGCTTCTTCTGCTGCTACTGTTGGTGCTTCCGCTGCTGCTTCTGCTGCTGCTTCTGCTGCTGCTTCTGCTGCTGCTGCTGTTTTCTATTTTCTGTTGCTGCAGTGTACATAGCCTGTCTTCATTTGCCTGTGGTGTTTGATTTGAGGTGTATAGGGAGCTGTTTGTTCTGCGGAATATGTATATAGCGTGTGTTGCATGAAGATGCATGCATAAGAAGCACTCATTTTGAGGTGTATAGGCAGGTTTTGCTGCGCAGATAGAATGGTTCTGGGGTAAAGAAAGCGTCGAAGAGCTGCACAATGTACGCTCAAATCTAAAAGACGCAAAGTTTGAAGCAGCCAGCGCTATCATCAGCAAAGTCCTAGGCACCATGTCTTCTGTCACAGGTTATAAACCCTAAACCCTAAACCCTAAACCCTAAACCACAATAAACCCTAATAAACCCTAATAAACCCTAATAAACCCTAATACACCCTAAACCCGACGCCCTCATAATTTCTAAACCCTTATAACCCGAAGCCCTCATTACACATACATATATATATATACATATATATATAAACAGAAGTAAATAAACATAAAGGAAGAGAAATACATAATCATATATATATAAATATATACATATATATATATATATATAAAGATAAAGAGCGGTAAAACAAGATGATGAAATCTGAATATGTTTGATAATTTGTTTTGCAGGTAGTATGCGAGGGCGTCATCATTTATTTTATGTATTGGTGCTGAGTCCTCCTTGTCTATATCTGAAGAGAGATCATAGAGTAAATTTAGCATCAGAGTTAGGACGAATATCAGCAACAGAGAGAAGCAGCGAAGGTGTAGGCTTAGATTATAAAATTGTTGAAGTAAACAGCATAAGAAAGGCTTTATTAGCGGTGATAGTAAACCCTGAAATACTATGTGTATGCTTGCAAGATAACGCACCGGTTGATGTAGCATCTTCTTCTTATCCAGCATTATATAATTTAAGAAGCTTTATTAGAGGCATTGATAGATTTGTTGAAGAGCCTATTAATAATATTAAGCTAGGAGCACCTGTATTACCGACATTAGTAAGAAGTTTAAGTAGATGTAGACGAGGAATAGATATATTTTGTGTTTGCTCAACTATGTGTTTAACATCACTAGAACCTGTAGATCATTTGATTAAACGTACATTTCTTCCTATGGATGATCATTCTGATTTACATGAAGCAATATTAGAAGCAATAAGAAGTAAGATGCGGTGTCCTTTCTTTAATGCATTAAGAGAGTATGCAGAGAGGCCTATAGGGGTATTTCATGCCTTAGCAATTTCAAGAGGAAATTCTGTTCGTAGAAGCAAGTGGATTCAATCTCTTATTGATTTCTACGGTACATCTTTATTTAAAGCTGAAAGCTCTGCTACTTGCGGCGGTCTTGACTCTCTTCTTGATCCCCACGGTTCTCTCTTAGAAGCACAAACACTTGCTGCAAGAGCGTTTGAAGCAGGCTATGCTTTCTTCGTCACCAACGGTACCTCTACATCCAATAAAATCGTTATTCAAGTTAGCCATACATACCCTAAACCCTAAACCCTAAACCCTAAATCATAAACCCTAAATCATAACCCCTAAACCATAAACCCTAAACCGTAAACCCTACACCCTGAACAATAAACCCTACACCCTGAACCCTGAACCCTAAACCCTAAGCCCTAAACCCTATTATGATGTTGTTTGTGTGTTATTGAAGGCATTAACGCGGCCTGACGACGTGGTGTTGATAGACAGAGACTGTCACAAGAGTCATCACTATGCATTGGTGTTAGCTGGAGCTCGACCTTGTTATTTAGATGCTTATCCTCTTCATGAATATTCAATATACGGGGGTGTAAGAATAGAAGATATAAAGAAAGCATTATTAGCTTATCGTGCTGCTGGGAGGCTTCAAGAAGTGCAGCTTCTTGTTATTACAAATTGCACTTTCGATGGTATTGTATATAATGTTAAGCGTCTATTAGAAGAGTGTTTAGCTATTAAACCTGATCTTATCTTTCTCTTTGATGAAGCCTGGTTTGCTTATGCTGGCTTTCACCCTATACTTAAAACCCGAACGGCTATGCACTGCGCAAACGAACTACGCAGAGAAGTAAGTACGCTATACCTCACACATATATGCATGCAAAATGCATGCAAAATGCATGCAAATTGCATGCAAAATGCATACAAATTGCTTGCAAATAGAAGGCGCTGTGCATGCAAGTTGCATGCAAGTTGCATGCAAGTTGATTATTTATCTTGCATGCATTTTGCATGTAACTTGGAATGAGAGTGGAGTCAGAGTTTCAGACACCCCAGCACAGGCAGCAGCAGCAGCAGCAGCAGCAGTAGCAGCAGTAGCAGGATCGGCAGCAACATCAGAAGCAAGAACTGGAGCAGCAGGAACAGCAGCAGGAGCATGTCTTCGTGGAATGACGCGCATTTCTGACTGTCTTTTGCTGCTGTTATTATTATTATTATTATTATTATTATTATTATTATTATTATTATTATTATTATTATTATTATTATTATTATTAGTATGTGCGTGTGTTGTTTGCTGCTGTTGCTGCAGCTGATGGAGAGGAAGTATCATCATCTGCATGCAACGCTGCTCGATACCTTGAAGGTTCCTTCTTTAGAAGAAGCATCTGCTGCTGCTCTTCTTTCTCATCGTTTATATCCTAATCCACGCAAAGCTAAAATTAGGGTGTATGCAACCCAGTCAACTCATAAGTCTTTGACTTCTTTACGTCAAGGGTCTATGGTACTTGTAAATGATGATTTGTTTGAATCTCATGTACATACTTCTTTTAAAGAAAGCTATTATACGCACATGTCTACTTCACCCAACTATCAAATACTTGCAACCCTAGACGTCGGTAGAGCCCAGATGGAGCTCGAAGGCTACGGCCTTGTGGAAAGACAATTAGAAGCTGCATTTCTCATCAGAAACGCATTAGGAAAAGACCCTTTTGTCTGCAAATATTTCAGAGTATGCATTCGCACAGTCTTCTCTTAATCCAATATACATGCATGCATAGATGCATGCATATATGCATACATGCATCTATGCATGCATGCGTACATATATATGAATGATCGTATATCTTTTTTTTTCTCTCCCGTGTACAGTTGCTTGTTGCTGTGGTAGGGGGGCATATGCTACTGTAATAGAGGAGAATAATGCTGCAGATAGATGCATTATTTTGCTTTGTTTGCTGTTTGCTGCTGCAGATCTTAGGGCCTCACGATATGGTGCCTGCTAGCCTGCGTCAAAGCTCGTTGCAAAGCTGCTGCGGAGGCGGAATGATGGATGAACAAATGAATGTTCAAACTTTAGAAGAAGCGTGGCTTTCAGACGATGAATTTGTCTTAGATCCAACGCGCATTACGTTGTACACTGGGTGAGAAGAAGCTGCATATACACTATAAATGCATTAATTTGTGAAAGAAAGCTGCAGAAATTGCAGCTTTCTGTTTGGTTTCACCGGGGATTTTTCATTTTGTTCAAATAAATATAACAGATTCTCCATATTTCGTCTTGTGATATTTTTTTGTATTTCTCGTTTCAGCAAATCTGGCTTAGACGGCGACACATTCAAAGTGAAGTGGTTGATGGATAAATATGGAATTCAAATTAATAAAACCTCCAGAAATAGTGTTTTATTCATGACAAACATCGGTACAACCCGTTCGTCTTGTGTTTTCCTGAGAAGTTGCATTCGACACTGTGCGCAAGTAAGTCTTTTCTGTCTATATTTTTAAAATTCTTTGCTTTTGAGATAACAAAAGCATTCATTATTTATGTACTATAATTACGTTTTATTATATAATTTACCGCGCTCTTGCGGAAACCGTTGGTTTCGCCTGATTTTCTGTTATGTACAATATTGTTGAAGTGCTGAAGATACACCTGAACAAGAAGAAACCCATCGTTGAAAAGCGCTTTCTTTCATTTACATTGTTCAGGAACTCGAAATGAGGCGTCTGCTGAGCAGCCGGAGAGAATTGGAAGAATTGCAAAAGCAGATTGACCTCATCGTCTGCGACTGCCCTTCACTGCCAGACTTTTCAGGATTTCACCCGGCGTTTGCTCGCGTACGTCAGCAGAGACTTCGATTGCATGCAAAGCGAATAGCAGCAGCAGAAGCAGCAGAAGAAGAACAGAAGCACGGCGACAGATATCTTAGTTCAACACCAACAAGTATAGACAGAGCCGATCACAACTACAACTCCAGCAGCAGCCAGCCGCATTCACCAATATACAACGATGAATTGCTAAAGGAATGTGTACGAGATGGAGATGTAAGAGAGCCTTTCTATCTAAGTTATGATGAAGAACATGTTGAATACTACAGCCTCCAGCAAGCTATACAACTCATTAAAGAAGGAAGAACCCTCGTCGGCAGCACTTTTATTATTCCTTATCCCCCGGGCTTTCCAATCTCGGTGCCTGGACAAGTGAGGAGCCGATCTATTCAGCTTAAAGATTAATAAGTATATAAAATATAAATATATATATATATATATTTATATAACTTATATAGTTATGTCAATTAGATAAAAATAAGAAATAGAAGTATTATAATGCTACTCTTTGTTGTAGATTATTATTTGCATTCGCTGGCTTTTCATGCTTTAGAATATACGATAGGCAGTTGTGTTCAATCTCCTTCTTTATATTCATATATTTTCTCTGTTTCTTTTCTATGCATGCATGCATGCATGCAGAAAATAGGCTTTCTCTGCTTGTTTTATATGCATGCATGCATCCATACATTCCCGCAGCGAGGAGGTTTTGTCTATTTGTTTCGCATGCATGCAGATGCATGCATGCACCTACATGCATGCAGATGCATGCATGCACTTTCGTCTTGAATCTTTTTTTGTTTTTGTTTGCAGATTCTGTCTTCTGCAATAGTAGAGTTTTTGATAAAGATTGATGTGAAGGAGATACACGGCTTTGACTCAAAGTTAGGGTTGCGATGTTTTAAAGACTCTCTTTTAAACTCTCTGATGGATGTTTGCTGCAATCAGCAGCAGCAGCAGGAGCAGCAGCAGCAGAACATTGAAGTGCAGCAGCAGCAGCAGCAGCAGAACATTGAAGTGCATGCAGAACATTCTAATACTCCAGTGCATACAGAAACAAAAAGAGAAAATAATTCAGCAGCAACACCTACACCTCTTCTTCCAGATACACACATCGCAGAGGAGGACGAATAATAATAAATAATAATAATTTTATTAGCATTTTAAAGATATAACTAATAATAATAATTATTATTATTATTGTTACGCTTATTATTTACAAGGCTTCTGAGAAGAAGAAGCAGCAGCAGAAAGAGAAGGAAGAGCTGCACATTCGCAGCAGCTTCCTTTAGGCCTTTAGGTGTTTGTAAAAAGATAGTTTGTCTCTTGCATGCATCCATGCATGCACTTGCATGCATGCATGCATGCATGCACTTGCAGTTTGTTTTGAACGTGTTTTTACTTTTTGTGTTTCTTTCTTTAGTTTTTGTTTTTCATGCATTTAATAATGTTTTCGTTTGTTGTAATGGATGCGTCTGTTGCTGTTCTTCTATACTGAAAATACAACAGATATATTTTAAAACGCTTTTAATACCTAATATAATATAATATATAATATTATATATTTAAATGTTTTTATTTATTTATAGAGTAAAGGCATCTTAGCTGCTAATGACGATAGCCAGGCATAAGAAGAAAAGATACGTTGCCGCAGATTCTTCTTTTCTTTGCTTTCTTTACATCCCTTCACTCTCTCTAACTCTCTCTATCTGTCTTTAAACCCTAAACCCTAAACCCTAAACCCTAAGACCGGAAAAGAATAGGGCCTATCTAAACCCTAATCCTTTTAAACCC